GGGGGCGGGGGTGGGGAGAGCTCCCTCCTGCACAGGACACGGCCTTTCAGGTCGGAGAGAAGGACCGAGCGCCTCACAAGGTGCCTGCGCTGATGAAGGTCCTGTGGGCGCGAGCGAGGCCCGCCGTGGGCCGCCGGCCATGGGCAGACAGACGGGGGAATCGCCTTGCGCTCAGCCATCGGAGCAAAGCTGACAGCACCAGTGTCCCTCCGCCTCCGTCACTGTGAGCCAGCGGTTCTCACCTCCGCTGCACATGAGAATCACCTGGGAACCTTTTTAAAATCCTGATTTCTGGGCCGTATCCCCTGGAAATTCTGTTTCTTTGTTATGGGGTGGGGCCACAACATTAGTAACAAAGAAACAGAATTTCCGGAGGATGAGGCCCAGAAATCAGGATTTTAAAAAGATTCCCAGGTGATTCTAATGAGCAGCCAGGGTTGAGAACCGCTGCGTAAGCAATCGTTTCAATACTAACGCTCTTCTCAGGTGTGCTCTTCCGTGGTTAACGAGCTAAGAGCCGCTGTGGCCTCCCTGGCCCGTGAGCTGGGGGGGCATCGGCCTGCACGCTGCAGGGTCTCAGGTTCAATCCCCAGTCGAGGCCAGGTCCTGGACTGCAGGCTCAATCCCTGGCCCCGGGTGGGGCACGTTTGGGAAGCAACCAATGGCTGTGTCTCTCTCTCCCTCCCTCCCCCTCCCTTGTACTCTCTCTAAAAGTCAATAGAAAAAATATTCTCACGACGGCCAGTGTGGCCCAGTGGTTGAGCATCAACCTATGAACCAAGAGGTCAGGGTTTGATTCCTGGTCAGAGCACATGCCCGAATTGCAGGCTCGACCCCCAGTGGGGGGAGTGCAGGAGGCAGCCAATCCGTGATTCTCTCATCATTGATGTTTCTATCTCTCTCCCTCTCCTTTCCTCTCTGAAATCAATAAAAATATATTAAAATGTATATATGTCCTTGGGTGAGGGACAGGCACACAGCTCTGGCCCCCTCACTCGCAACGCCACCTCTGACTCTGAGAAAACTTGTTCTCAGAGCAGCGGGTTTCTGCGCATCATTGTTCCTACAATTACAGGTGTGGGGGC